TGTTTTTTCTTATTGCACAATCTCATCTGTGCTTTATGTCCACGGGTTGAAATATTGGGAGCTGTAAGAGATGTTTTCCATGACAGAAGTTTCTTTTCTTCCTGATCTCAAACAGTAAATTCCAGATAGTTTGGAAATCCCCCTATAACCCTTCCCAGATTGATGGGTAGCAGAAAACATGTTTATATTCTTATGATTATTCCCTCTTGGCGTTATGCTATAAAAACATTAATTCTTTAGATCAGAAACTAACAAACCACCAACACCTATTTGCTTCTTTCCCTTTAAAATCCCAACGATCTGTGTTTTTCTCTGAAGCTTTATTTTTCTTCAATAAACTCCTGCATGGAATCTACTGTGGTTTCTACACTCAGGATGTTTAAATCATCTAAAACATGGGAAAGCTTGGCTAATTTCAATAATTTTATCCGAAATATCCTAAAATCTAGCCTGATAAGCCAGACTAAATGTGAGATTAAATGTGTAATTTAGTCTGGACCAGATGAATGAGACATCGAAAGATTGTCGATGAAAACAACCCGTTGTTTTTCAATACTATTGGCCAACGCTCTGACCAATGAGCGCCACTGACTGTGACGTAAGAAGCGCGACAGAAAGCTAGTGGGGAAGTGTAAACAAACAGCCCGTTGATAAAACGGCGAATACGTCCTTCTCAAAAATGAATGAGCGTAGAGCCTCCCCAAGTCTAATCCTTCCAAAACTGACTCCAAAGCTGAGTCAAAAATCGCCAACAGAGCCAGCAGTCCTTCAAACACGACTATGCCGAGAGAGGGCCGCTGCAGACGCGCTGCGGTTAGCCATGGCTGCCGTTAGCTTCGGAGGTCCGCTGGTTGCCGCAGTCCTCTCAATATATAGTGACAATTTAAAGTATAATATTCTCGCCTCAAAAGATCTCAAACCGTTTTATTGAACAACAGCAACAGAAAAGAGAACTTTTAACTTCCAATGGAGTGCATGCTACTGTTCAATAGTTGTTGCCATCTTCCTTGTGCTTTCTCCAGCGTCGCGCAGCTTTGTCGTCACGCCTTCAAAACCCCGCCCGCTTTGCATCCAGACATTCAAAACACATCTCTGCGTTGTGATTGGCCCGCCAGTTCTAGGGCCTGGGGCATTGATCGAAGCTAGACCAAATTCGCAGGCAAAAATGATTTTGGCCGCTGGCGGGTGGGGATGGTTTACTAGGCTATCTAAAATCATGGATCTGAGACAATTCAATTAATTTTATTTATATAGCACCAATTCACAACACTGTCATCTCAAGGCACAATTCAACCAGGTCATACAGTCATATTGATTGAAAGTTTTCTATCTAAGGAAAACCAATTGATTGCATCAAATCATTGACTCAAAGGCAATCCCTCACACTAAGCATGCTTATAGCAACAGTGGAGAGGATAAATACCCTTTTAACAGGAAGAAACCTCCAGTAGAACCAGGCTCAGTGTGAGCGGCCATCTGCTGAGGCCGACTGGAGTTCAAGGAGACAGAAGCAGCCATAGAAAAAGAAGCAGAGATACAAAAGGCAACTGTCAACCAGATCCACAGGCAGGAAACACACAGCCAGGCAGAGGAGCTCCGAGCCAGCTCCTATGTCAGAGGATGAAACAGAGCACATACAGTTAGTCAGTCAGAGGAACAGGACCACACTCCACAACAGGCAGATCTGCATCACGACAAAGGTGTTGATGGCAGCAGCACAGCTGTTATTTCTCTCTAGGATGGCAGTCAAACAGGAACAGACCAAATGAAGCTACTATGACATTTTCTGTTGGTGCTTTTGATGACAAATCAATAGATAATTTGTTTTGCCTGCAATATATTAGGCTGACTGATAAAATATACTGTAAATGTAAAACCAAGGTGCTGGAATTTCAGCTAGCTGCTGGCTAGCTCAAGCTGTAAGTCACCCATCCTGCAAAACAGGAACAGGAGGGCTGAGTTCCTATTCCAGCTGAGAGGGAATGAGCTGTGTCCTTAGGCAAGACCCTTCACGCTAATGTGGAGTGGTGGAATAATGGTTAGGGTGTTGCACTTGGAATCCAGAGGTTCTGAGTTGAGCCCCACTCCCACACTTTCGTTTGTTGACCAAAGACCCTTAACCCCAACCTGAGTGAAGTTGGCCCCCCCACCTTCTTCAAATCAGACAAAATTAGTGTCAAACCTTTGTGCAGCAAAAATTTTCATTTTTACTGCTTTGGATTTGAAGATATTAATGAAAACGTAAAGGTCAAAAGGTCAACCAGCCCCCCCACCTTATTCAAATCAGACAAAATTAGTGTCAAACCTTTGTGCTGGTTTGTGCAGCAAAAATTTTCGTTTGTGCCGTTATTGTTTTAAAGATATAAAGAAAAATTTCTAGAGGTCATCAAAGGTCAACCAGCCCGCCCACCTTTTTCAAATCAGACGAAATAGGTGTCAATCAACTCAGCTCCGTTTGTGCTGGTTTGTGCAGCAAAGATTTTCATTTGTGCTGCTTTGGATTTGAAGATTTGAAGAAAGTGGGGGGGGGCTTGTTGACCTTTAATGACCTCTAGAAACGTTTATTTATATCTTTAAAATGACAGCGGCACAAATGAAAATTTTTGCTGCACAAAAAAAAAAAAATTACAATTTTAGAAGTAAAAACAGGTTTGAGTTATACAGAAATCAAACTTTTGACAACATCCACAATTTCATTTAGTTTTTTATTTATTTATTTATGCATATTGTTGTTGCCCAATAAGCGTTTTTTGTGAAGAAACTTAACAGGGACACAAGTTACGTGCAGTTAAGTGCAGCTCGGGCCGATGCAGTAGATTATAAAGTGCAACTGAAATATTAACAAAGAAAACCATAGGACTGAACTGATTTTTTATCATGATGCAATGACCCGATACAGGTGACAATGGAAATATATTAATCCTTANGTTTGTGCAGCAAAAATTTTCATTTGTGCTGCTATGGATATGAAGATTTGAAGAAAGTGGGGGGGCTTGTTGACCTTTGATGACCTCTAGAAACGTTTATTTTTATCTTTAAAATGACAGCGGCACAAACGAAAATTTTTGCTGCACAAAAAATGCACAAACGTTTGACACTAATTTTGTCTGATTTGAAGAACATGGGGGGGCCAACTTCACTCAGGTTTAACACCACACTGCTCCCCGATCACACAATGGCAGCCCACGGCACCTCAAAGGGACGGTACTTGTGACGGTGTAATGACAAAAAAACTAAATAAATGCTGGAAGTACACATTAAGATTCCTTCTATCATTCCCACTTACAGTTTTGTTTTAAACTACTAAAATAATTACAATTTTAGAAGTAAAAACAGGTTTGAGTTATACAGAAATCAAACTTTGACAACAACCACAATTTCATTTAGTTTCTTATTTATTTAATTATGCATATTGTTGTTGCCCAACAAGCGTTTTTTGTGAAGAAACTCAACAGGGACACAAGTTACGTGCAGTTAAGTGCAGCTCGGGCCGATGCAGTAGATTATAAAGTGCAACTGAAATATTAACAAAGAAAACCATAGGACTGAACAGGTGACAATGGAAATATATTAATCCTTAACATGCAAAATAATTAAGAAAAGATCAAACATTGCTAACGATAAATGTTAACAGAAAGTACTGAAATGTACATAAATGTGCTCCAACATAAATAGCAAACTGTCTATACTGGTAGATCTATGCCTATAAAAGATGTCAGCGTTTTCTTGTTTGCAAAAAGTTTCTCCACTGAAATGCATATTCCCAAAATCTCTCACTAAAATACTTGAAAACATATTTAAAAGATCAAGGACTAGAAATACAGAGGGAGAACAGATGTTCCCACACAGTCCAGATGCTCCAGACGTTCTCAGCTCAGTGAGGAGGCCAAATAAAACAGGTTTTTAAGCACCGATCAAAGCGCGACATATGTTCTATTGTCGAACAAGCACAGCTGAGTGTAATTGCACTTCTATTAGTGAGGGAATGAACGTGGTTTGAACTGAAACCCAGTTTGCTTCTTTCTTTTGATCAGCTTGGCGTGCTTGAGACAGAAGGTAGAAGAGATTCTGCCTTAAGAACAGCAGAGGAGAAACAGTCTGCTTGCTAGAAAGAAAACACGAAAATAAGCAGACGGGATTCATTTCAAACTGAAATGTACCTACCAAAATAAATTAATTAATTAATTCCGGAATCAACTTTAACAGTCTTAAAATGTCTTATTTGGTGATCTATAATCAGTTATCTAGCCTCCCTTCATGATAACTTTACTGTACCTCAAAGTGGATCTAATTGGACTTTAGGTTAGCTGCTAACAGCTAATTATCTTTGGAACTATAAAAGTTTGGTTAAGGTAGAAATAAATGAGCTAACAATGTTCCCAGAGATTTCCCAGCTCAAGGAAAGTATGGAAGAAGAAAACAAGAGTGTAGAAAAATACTTCATTCCCAGACTTTTTTCCCTATTTTCAAAATATTGAGTCCTTTCTTGTGCTCTTCCTTCCCTTTTTCCTTCTAAACTTCATATGCTTGAACACTTGTTCCTCTTTTTTTTTTTCTTTAATATGACACGATAAGCGAGGATGTTTGAGAGATTTCTCACCAGTGAAATCATTACATTACTGGGCTCTAATTACAATGCCCAAATAAGGAATGCCTGAAAATACAATTTTAAAACAAAACAAAAAAGCTCAAAGCCTTAAATAACTAAACTAAAATCTGTGTTTTGGATCATAATTTAAAGTGGATAACACACATAAATAGAAGGAACAGTCACAAAATAATATTTCCCAAATTTGCTGCCATCTCATTGGTATTACAGCTACATAATGAACTACAGCCGACTGTCCAAAGTCTGTCTGCTAATCAAGTTGATAGCAAACTGAAAGCCCATATATTGCTAAATAATGTCTGACTAGTAGCTGCAAGCTTCAAGGTTTTTAAAACATAATGGTGCGTAGAAACATTTATACAGTTTTTCACCCCAAATGAGAAAGAGAAGCATCTGCTACAAAAAAGAGGAGTAAAAAACAGTTTGACTTTCACCAAGAAATGTAATCTGGCCATTTGTTCTCTATAATCTGTCTCCATTAGGATTAGGGACCATAATACTGACCTCTTTGGGCCACCATGACTTTAAATCTGAAAACAATAGATTAATTCAGCAGAGCACTTCAAGGTGATAGATTGTCATCCTCTTCTTCCGTCTGAATGTTTCCTCCATCATGGTCGGTGGTCTCAGAGAGCTGCAGATGCAAACATTTACATTACACAGGTGAATTGAAAAAGTACCACTCATATAAACACTATAATTTATCACAGGTCTCCATTCTGTTCATCTGGATAATTCCAATTTACAGCTGAAGAGAATCAGAATTAAAGTTTACCTGAAAAATGTAATATTACTCAATACTACTAAAAACAAAACAGATTTTGCAACAGAATTGTCACATGTCAGCTGAAACAGTCATAAGGGAATCTGCCGGCTGACGTTTTCAACAACAAAAAAATGAATAGCATGAAAGAATTTCCAGGAGACGGAAATCGCAATAATCTTGAGACGTGACGGTAAAACAACAGGATGTTAAAGAGATTGGTTTCTGATGTAGTAAAGAAACTCAGACTGGTTGCATAAACAGGACATGGAATCATTATTCCCATATCTGTCTTAAAAAACTGCTTTCTTGATCTTAGATTATGTTATAATGTTCTGAGAAACACATTATTTGGGTTATATGCCATCAAAATAAATATGAATAAACAACTGTGGGTTTACCAACTCTATATAAGTTTACCTTTTTACAGTGAGGAAAATAAGTATTTGAACACCCTGCTATTTTGCAAGCTAAACATGACTGTCAATCTTTCTCGGATGCAAGATCTGACCTCCTGGGGTCTCAATGATCCAAAAAAAGGTGAGAAATCAGCACAGAACTACACGGGAGGAGCTGGTCAATGATCTGAAAAGTGCTGGGACCACCGTTTCCATGGTTACTGTTGGTAATACACTAAGACGTCATGGTTTGGTATCATGCATGGCACGGAGGGTTCCCCTGCTGCAACCAGCAAATGTTAAGGCCCACCTTAAGTTTGCCAATGACCATTTGGATGATCCAGATGAGTCATTGGAGAAAGTCATGTGGTAGACACCTCATCCTCACTCCCAACTCATCACATATTGACGCTTGGCCAAGTTGCGATGGGGATACCCCTCTCGTCAGCAACTGACGCTCGGGTTCATAACAAGTTGTAGCAGGAACTTTCGAAATTTTTTTTGAAGTAAAAACATAGCAATAACCCATTCCTTACCCTAACTCTAACCACTAAACCTAAAGAAACAATAGTATACGTGTTATCATGCACTTCTTAAGCTATAAAAGTAACTGTGTAGGCTAAACTTGACATGATATCCTGTCCATAACCAGACATTAACCCTGTGTGAAATACTGATGTGAGGGCTACCCCCTGCGCGTCAGTGTGAGACACACATAGGTTTGGCCAGGCGTCAATATGTGATGAGGGATGTTGGGTGTGAGAATATGTTGCAACAAATATAACTTTTTGGTCATGTTTCCACTAACCGTGTTTGGAGGAAGATAATTGATGAGTACCATCCCAAGAACACCATCCCTACCGTGAAGCATGGGGGTGGTAGCATCATGCTCTGAGGGTGTTTTTCTGCAAATGTTACAGGACGATGACTGCAGCCATATACTGTATTGTGAGGTTTTGGGGAACAACCTCCTACCCTCGGTCAGAGCATTGAAGATGAGGCGAAGCTGGATCTTCCAACATGACAATGACCCGAAGCACACAGCCAGGATAACCAAGGAGTGGCTCTGGGAGAAGCATATCAAGGTTCTGCTGTGGCCTAGCCAGTCTCCAGACCTAAACTCAATAGAGAATCTTTTGAGGGATCTCAAACTCTGGTTGTCAGCGACAGCCCAGAAACCTGACTGATCTAGAGAAGGTCTGTGTAAAATCCCTCCTGCAGTGGAGGGATTTTCGCCCTCCTGTGCAAACCTGGTGAAAAACTACAGGTGCAGCTGTATCACAACTAAATAGTTAAAAAATACACTGTGATTTCTGGATTTATTTACTTTTTTTGTTAGATTATGTCTCTCACAGTGGACATGCACCTATAATGACAAAGTCAGACCCCTCCATGATTTCTAAGTGGGAGAACTTGCTAAATAGCGGGTTTTTTTATACTCATTTTCCTTACAGTATATCGAATCAGAGGCACCTGTAGGGGCACCACTCTTCTCTATGCAAACAAGGCTCTATTATTAAACTAGAAACTTAGTAATGATGACAAACCTGGAGGTTCTGCTGGGATGGTGCAGGGTCTGTTTCCTGCACTGGGTGTCCTTTATTCCCATCCTCAGAGTCTATGTCCTCCTGTCCATGCAGAGGTGGAAAGGGAGGGGTGTTGTTTGCAGTGGGCTGCAGGGGAACAGCAATGTTCTGCTCCTGCTGAGATTTTACCATGACATGTTTCACTTGTCTCTAGTTATCATAACTTCAGGCTGATGAGGAGGCACCAACTTACTTGTAGGTGATGTGAAGCGGCTGCTTGATCACCTGTCTCTTGGATTGGATGCCCTAATTGAAATGGAACTGCAGCATGCTGAGGACATGGAGGACTGACTTTTGGAGGCTGGTTCCTACAGGGTGGAGGTATGGGTGGAGGTGGAGGTAGGGGCCTGGCAGTCGTCTAAATATGCATAAAATAAAATTGAATAAAATCTCTGTATCACAGCAAAGTCTATATATAGTTGCACTGAAATGGTCAAAGATGACCTAAAGTTTCTTAATAGTATTTACACCATATATATCACTTTAGTATGACAGAGTATTAGGGCCAGGCTGGAGATTTTTTTTTTCTTCTATTTCAACAATGCATAGAAAACAGTTTTAATAGTATGAGAATGAAGTCATCATTCAACAACCCGTTTCAGAAAGAAAGCTTCGAGCTCCGACCAGCAAATGATGGCTGACCAGCTCCAGCAAACAGCAACCTGAGTCCACTTTGACATCCTGCCCAATTTGATGCTGTTGCTAAAAGATTTCCTTATTTGTCAAACCACAGCCAAAGTATAACTTCACATAATGCTCCACATTCCTCATTTTAGCGAAGAAATTGCTTCTTGTAAGTGTTGTCATAAAATACTACTTGTTTCTTGAAATTTTAGAACTTTTTTCTCTTATTATTGCGACTTTATTACCGTAATTTTACGACTTTATTCTCATATTACAACTTCATTATCGTAATATTACGACTATATTCTCATAGTTTTACAACTTTATTCTCGTAATTTTACGACTTTTTTCTCGTAATTTTAGGACTTTATTCTCTTAATTTTAGGACTTTGTTCTCGTAATTTTAGGACTTTATTCTCTTAATTTTAGGACTTAGTTCTCGTAATTTTAGGACTTTATTCTCTTAATTTTAGGACTTTGTTCTCGTAATATTACGACTTTATTCTCGTAATTTTAGGACTTTGTTCTCGTAATTTTATGGCTTTATACTCGTAATGTTACGGTTTTATTCTCGAAATAGAAAAAAAACCTCTAGCCTAGCCCTAAGACTCCATGATAATGTTACACTAGCGCTCTGTGATGTGGCTTAAAATTATACACCCTTTTTTCCCCCTACCAAATACAATTAATAGATTTTCTTTCTTCTTAAATTTCTTTATAAAAGGTGATAAATGATATAAATGACTTTCAAAAACTAGCTGTTATTTCAACCATCTCCTCTGGGAGGTGACCTTTGTTTAAAGGCCAATGAAACTCGAGCTGTGAAGCCTGGATGTTTCCCAAACAATGAGAATATGACGTGTTTACAGCTAGTAGAATCACACAGTGGGTTAGTTTGGCTCGGACAGGTGATGAGCTGATATTACACAGACCTAAAAGAGCGCATTAGTGGGAAAAAAATGCAGATGTTCAAAAAATGCAATCTTCATAAACAGAAAATTAAATAATAAAATGGATTAATCAATAAATTGCCGAGCCCTATACATAAAAAGCACTACAAAGTAAACTAACGGTAATCAAAGTGGTAATAAGATAAGCGTTGTGTTCCCTACTTCCATGGGGTCTTTACCTTGCAGAGAAATTTCACCGAGAATACAAAACAGACATCAATCGCATTTTCATAAAACAATCACTTCATCCCTGGAACTTTATAGACTATTTTAGCTCAGAAAGCTCCAATCCGATGAGATAAAAAGTACAGCGAAGTTAGCAGCGGAGCAGTGAGTCAATGGGTGGGTTTGGAAGAACCGCACACATCTCACCGAAGACTTTTAACAAACAATTTCTTACTCGTTTGTGTTCGTTATAAAAGTGTTTTAATATTAGAATTAAAAAATAATTAAGAAAATGAAAAAGAAATACTGTATACTTACCATCTTTGACGTAAAAACATACAACCACTTCCTGAGTTCCAAAAAAACAAACAAAAAAAACTTCCTGAAATACTTCCGGTTATGTGCTTCAAATAAAAGTACAGCAAACATACCGCAGGTATTAAAAACATAATTTTTTTTGTTATTCTGTATTTGTTTATTAGTTTTGTATTGTATGATTTTGTCATGCTGTTAAACTGTGTTTATTATTAAGCATGTAAAGAGTGGGAAAATTTTCATCCCTTTCCTAAACGTTCTTAAATGTTTTAATTTGAAAAGAGGGCGGAAGCTCGGGACAGCTTCTAATGACGTAATTTCCGGTTGATCGCCTGTTGTAAACACAGCAAACAGCTGGACCCAGCAGCGGCTCCTAGTCAGGTTTTAGTCGGCAGTTGTATCACCTGCTGGAATCAGAACCACCGTATTAATACACATTTAGCGGTGATTTGTCTGAACTGGTGTATCCTTCCGCTAATAGCTAAGCTAAGCCCTGTTCTCTCTGAAGCCACCTGTGGTCCTCTGCTGTGTGAGTGAACAGAAAGCCTTGCCTTCTCTCTCATGGTGCTTTCTGGTCCATGGGGAACTGCCTATTTTCACAAGGTGGGGATGACGTTTCGCTGCTGAACGAGTCGGAGGGGGGCAGTCTGCCTGGAGAGACCCCGCCGCCCTACCAGGTAAGTAGTCCGAGTGTGAACTTTAGAACAGCCCGGATAACGACGTCACTCCAAAGGTTTAATCACTTGCGTTAAATATATCGAGAATATAAAAATGAGTAAATAGGGAAGACGTTGTCATGTGATAAATTCGCTGAAGCCCATTTTTAGCGCTGATAGCGTGACTGGATGGTTGATATCATGGATATGTTCCCTAAAACTTTCCCAAAAGTTATATAACTTTCACTTTCTAAACTTTAGAGAACGTTCCAGAAGTGGGATTGATATCATAAATAGTCTCTGTAAATAATCTACTGTATGGTACAATACATCAAACAAATTAATCTTGAGCTTTTTTTTTTTTTTTTGATAAAACAAAAGGGAGATAATCTGGGATTAAATAACCCATTTTATTATCTATACATTTATCCAAGTAAAGGCAGGCTCTTAGATCTTAAAGTGTTTTTAATCAATAAAAATGTATTTTTAAAATCCTAGAAACTAATCCCTAATGTGATTTATTTTTCTCTTTGGTGATTTATACACCGCTATCAATAAAACGCTGTAAATAACATGTTATTTAGTTACTTTTTGAGTTATAGATGTAAATGCTAATGTGGTGTAAATTAATTAAATCCTATACATCTAAGAAATAATACCACACAAATCAACAAAACTGTAGCTGAATTACCAGGTATGTTTTTGCTCCAGGTCCCTCTATTTTTTCCACTTTCCCTTGAATTCCCAAAAGGCAGCAAAGACATCTTGAATTGTTAAAAACAACAAATATTCTCTTTATGATTAAACTGTTGTTAGAAGAGATCCAATGTTTAAAAGTTCATAGAAATCTGTGGTGGATTATGTTTTTTTGGCATCTGCTTCTCCGCTCTAAAACAATCTCTGCAGATTCATGATTGTAGTATAGAGCAAGTAGTTTACCCACATCTAAATCCCGCATGACATAATGATCATATGATCAAATCTTTAATTCACAATATCCCATTTTGTGACAGGTTCCTTTTTTTTTTTTTTTTTACATGCAAACCATTTCCAAGGAAGAGACTAATTTCAGAAGTCGATGCAAAAATAGTCCTATATATTCTAAAGTTTAATTGAAAATAATATAAAAAGAGAATGAAATGTATTTTGCTCCATAGATTTTATTTTTGCTTGGAATTGAAACCAGACATTTAGACTCAAACCTTGTTTAGTCACCTTTTCATTTTAAACTTTACTACTCATTTCCGATTTATGGATTAGCAAATCTTTATTTTACTTTAATTTAAAACCAGAAATTGAAGTTGCTTGTAGGCTTCCTTTTGAATAATCCTAAAGATTAGAGTCAGCGTCTCACCTACTGATTTAAATAAAGGCCGTATCTGTTTTTTTTCCTGCATTAAATAAAAATAAATAATCTAACCTGAAAGTGCTGCATTTATCTGTTGCGTTATGTCCACAAAAATGAGTCCCATATGAAGACTCAAATGTTCTTCATGGAGGATGAAGGCATTACTCTACAAATGACACAAAGGACCATTGTTGTATATGGAGGTAAAAAAGTTAGGAAGTTTAAAAACAAAACAGAAGTATGAGCATAGTGTGGTCATGTGATCATGGGTCTCTGGCTGCCAAATGAACTGCTGCACCTCAGAAATTGGAATCCATCATAGAAAAATAGCAAATGTGTACAAACTTTGAAGAGATATCTGAAGTTATCAATTAAAATGTTAAAAGCTATGCTCAAAGGGAACAGTGATGCCAAATGTCTTACATAACGAGTGGATATGGACCAAAAAAATAAATGCTTTTGATTGGTCATCACAAATGCCCTGGTCCCAATCCCATAGAGACCTTATGAACTCTTAGGAATGGTCATTGGCAAACATGAGGTCAGTGACCTACACATGTAACCAAGTTATTACAGCTCTGTCAGGGCGAATGGGTAAGAAACTTTTTTTTTTTTTAATTAATTGATGCAGTTGTTTTTTTTTTTTTTAGATAAAAGAATATGTGTACATTATTTATTATTTATTTATCCTCCCTCCATTATTCTGACATTTGACAAGTTGAGATGACTTTGTTAATCCTTACTAATATAAACAGGCAAGATTTAATGTCAGGCAGGGAGAAGAAAAGGTTTTTTGTATGGAAACGCAACATATAATTTACTTAATGATCATGAAAAAATGATAATATTGTGCAGAGCTAGGATGTAGAAGTGAAGGGTCCTGAAATGAATGTGTAATTGTAGGAGGAGAAAAAAAAGAAAATCCCATCTACTGCTTTATCATCCAGCTTCGTCTGCCAGTGTAATTGTACGGTCAATGAACAAGCTGTAGTGTCTGGGATATCTTCCCACAGCCATGTTTCAGTAAAACATAAAATACTTCATTCCTGATGTTCCTGTTGTCTCCCAGCCAGTTTTCCATTCTCGCCTGTTTTCATTCGCCTTGGATCTAACATTCCTCATGGGCTCCTCGTTTGTTCTGTCCTACAGTTTCAGACTCTCTTGCTTTAACCTGTTTGGGATTTGTAATCTTCATCCATGGTTTAAATCAGATGCTTCAGAAGGAAAAACAGTATTCCCCATTTAGCGTTTTTACACGTTGAATGATTTCTAAAATGCTTCCTCTATGAGCAGTTGATAGTTGAATTTCCTTTGGGATTCTGCATTTGGAGACTGATGTTGTCTTTGGGGATTCATGTGTTCCAGCAGCACACCCCACCAGTGCCGGTCTTCCACCCCACACCAGGGGAGAGTCGCCTGGCCAGCCAGCTCACCGAGGAGGAGCAGATCCGCATCGCTCAGCGTATCGGACTCATCCACCACCTTCCCAAAGGTATCTTCGACCCGGGTTCTGACCCCTCGGAGAAGAAAGTGAAAGAGTAAGTGTTAAGTGGGGAATTTTATTTGAAAAGACCATATTTAAATCACCTAGTGAGATTTTTCACATTTAGTCATAACAACGAAATTCCTGTTGTCCCGTAAATGCCTCAGAGGGTTGTTACATAAAAGTTACTGAACAAAAAGGAGAAAAGGTCATAGGTCGCCATAGTGTGGCGAGTCTGTTCATGCAGAAATCCACCTTCAGTTTTCCCCTCATTTAACAGGAAGTGGCTCCGCTGGCACTCTAATGCCCCATCTACACTACCCCTCCGAATCCATGCTGAGTTCGTGCCAAGCTTGGATCAGTTAACCTTTCCGAGCATGGTTCTTACAACCATTTACACATCACGCTAGCACGGTTCCTCTCCTCCTATCTTTGGTTCATGATACTACAGCTCTAAGGCGGGAATTACGCAAACAAAAATGGTGGCACCCATAACATTTAGGAACTTTTGTGCCTGAATAGTCTCCTCCGCCCAAATGTCAATGAGAGCCTGAGTCTCTGCATCATCCCAGGTCGCAGCACGCTCTTTAGATGCTACTTATTGTTAATAGGCTGAGAAGCAGTTTGTGTTGTGAACAGGTGAAAAGATCTGTGAATTACAAACGCGAACATGGTGGGAAACCAGCGACTCAGCTGACTGTAAATAGAAGATGACGCAGTCTGGTCATGCACTCTTTCTTATCAGACAACTGAGCCGTATCTAAACCGTGCCAAGCCCTACTGTTGAACTAGTACAAGAATTAGCGTGGTTCGGTTGTTTCTGTAGTGTAAATGGGGCTTAAGTCCACTATCTGGACTCTGATCCGTCCTCGCTGTTAAGAGGCCGACTGTGGCAGAGTCATCTGAGAACTACTGAGCAGTTGTCTCACATCCTAGTTATTCATTTCTGGGGTTTGTCAAGTCAATGTCTGGAATGAATGTGATAAAGAATCTGCTTTAGCACATGAAAGTTACAGTTCAGATGCTCTGTATCTAGTTTGACCAAAGGAGGAACAAACAGACAAGATGTTCAATTCAATTCAGTTTATTTATATAGCGCCACTTCACAACACATGTCATCTCAAAGTACTTTACAGATACAATTAGACCAGATCAGATAATCAGATTTGTTTTTGTTCAGTTAGTTTATGCGTAGGGCTGAATGCAAACAAATTCCAAGTTTACAAGGTTTTCATTAAAAAAGCAACTTGGGAATCTGTGAATCATTTGCCTTTATCATTCTTTGCTTCTTTGTGTGTTTATCACATGAAATCCCAATAAAACATTGAAGGCTAAGATTGTAAAATGACTAAATATAATAACAAATGTGCACTTATTTGCACGGTGCTGTTTGCTAAGGAGCTGTTTCTCTCTTCAGGTGTGTGATCTGCATGATGGAGTTTGAATATGGTGATCCCATCCGGTTCTTGCCTTGTCTGCACATCTACCACCTGGACTGCATCGACCCGTGGCTCATGCGTTCCTTCACCTGCCCCTCCTGCATGGAGCCCGTAGATGCAGCCCTGCTCAGTACTTACGAAACCAACTGAGCACAAGAGGTGTCAGCAACAGGCAGCCTGGAAGGTGCGGCCCTGAGGCAGATATATGTAAGGTCTTTGGGGATGAAGACCTGTGTCAAGAACTGCTGCTTTACATAGTGCATTATAAAGATTTAATCCACGCCTGTTTGTGTCGGAGAGAAAAATGCGCCAAACCTTTTCACAGGAGCAAATGCTGTGTAAGGAGTGGAAAAAAAAAAGACAAAATGTGATGATTTTTAAAGCAATTAGTTGAGTTTTGTTCCTCATTGATGCTGTAATGTCCGTTATTTCAGCCTGGGAGGTTTATTAGTCATTTCAGTTATTGTTTGTTGAGTTTCCGATGAAAACTCGAAGTGAAAAGGTGATCTGAAGAAAGACCTTCACAAAAGTTTCCTTAAACAGAATAGATTCCAGTGCTTATTGCTTTCTGAATGTTATACGTTCAGCTATTAACCACATTCAAGGATTGCTGTTCTTTTATTTTTTGATGCATTAGTTGTGTTTTTGAGACAAGCTTTTCCCCTACAGCTTTTTTTTTATTCCGGATAACATCCTTTCTAATTGTTTTTTTTTTTTAGAGTCATTATGAGAAACTCGGCCTCCTGTTTGGTCCCTCTTAAAGCACACTGAGCGCCTCACCTTAAATATCGCAGCTCTTACATCCCAAACAGTATTGTGTTTTTATTTGTTTCTAAGCTTTTTTTTTTGAGTAACGGTTGTGTCCAGGCTTTGTGACTTCCTGTCTCTTTGTTTACCTTTTGTTGTTTTGAACTGCTGTTAGTAATTTACTAAATGTCTGAGACTGATACCCTAAAAACGCCCCCAGCTTTCAATGTCCGACATGTCATGTGAGGTTGACTCTGCTTTGCTAAGAAAAACCGGTGAAGCTGCAGCAGAGGGAAGGGGTGTAAACTGAATGTAAAGCCAGATTACAAACATTAATGGATGCTAATATTAGGACATTTCTGATTTACTGTGCACTCGCTGTGCCTTCTGTTGAAAGATGATGTAAGCCAAGTTCTGTGAAGTACAATCATTTATGCCTTTTCCTTTGTCGTTCTTTAGTTCTCCTCTAGGAGGAGACATATACCAGCACAATGTGTCACAGGTCTGTTTAAGGAAGCTGGAAATGTAATCTGGCTGCTGTGAGTGTTTCTAATTTATAATGTATGCAAAAAGTCTACAAAGTTAAGAAAACTAATAAAATGCAAATTAAATAAGCATCAAAATCTTTTCTGGTGTGAAGATGTTTTCTTTCGATTTATGAAACTTTTTTTGTGTGTGTGTTAATTTGATTTCTTGATTCTGTTAATCTGTTTTCCTATTAAGACCTAAGCGTTGTCTCCTCTGAGGCAGGAAATCAAACCTCGGGATTGAGACCAGCTATCAAGCAAAGCAATAGATGCTTTGTTTGCTGAATAGGATGTCACCATTAACAGTTAAAATTTAGACAAAGTTAATTTTTGTTTTCACAATTAAAAACAGAACATGATTTATAGAAGCGGGCTGCACAGTCGAGCAGTGGGTAGCACTGCTGCCTTGCAGTATTTTCCCTACCGGGTTCGATTCCCGGTCTTTCTGTAGGGAGTTTGCATGTTCTCCCTAAGGATGCGTAGGTTCTCTCTGGGTACTCCGGCTTCCTCCACGGCCAAAAGCATGACTGTTAGGTTAATTGGCTTATCTACATTATTATTATCAGGTGTGAGTGTCTGTGTGAATGGTTGTTGTTCTGTTTGTCTCTGTGTTGCCCTGCGATGGACTAGCGACCTGTCCAGGTTGAACCCCGCCTCTCACCCATTGCCAGCTGGAGATAGACACCAGCACTCCTCATGACCCCAGCAGGGATAAGCGTGATGGAAAATGGATGGATGGATTTATAGAAGCTAAAAAAGTAAAACAAGAAGCCTGTTTTTTTTTAAAGCTAAATAAATAAGTGCAATTGAAAGAAGGCATAAAAACAAAACAATTTATTACCAGAAGCATGAGTTAAAAAAGGAACTGCAAATACTTTATTTAATAAAAAATTAACAAAAACCTAGCTGTGTTTTTTTTTTTTTTTTTTTTTTTGTAAGGCCCAGATCAAAAGGGAAGATGGGAATAAATGGAGGTCAGGGTTATGGTTTGATTGTGCTTATTTACTATTTAAGCTGTTTATAAAATAAAAGATACTTCGTTAAAAATGAAATTGATATAAGGATTGGAACACTATCACTATGTCCAAGACTTATAGTATCAGAGATTAAAAAGAAAACTTAAAGTTATCAGATGGGGAAATCTCAGGTCGTGGTCAAACCAAAGACCCACTTCCTGAATCAGACACACAGTTAGGCTGAGCTGTTAGGCTTCATCAACATAAGACTTCATATGCAGGAGCTTTGCAGCTTGGAACAAAAGAAAACACCTTGGTTTTTTTCCAAGATCAATATCCAGTGCCTGGGTAACATTGACGTTTGTTAAATTCTTCACTGGACATAAAAAAGCAAAAAAACAGGATTATTACTGGACTAAAGATGGTCAGGAAGATCAGAGTCCCAGGGTGCTGTATAAAACAGAATAGCTCCCTTCACTGAACCGTGTGATACTCCTCCTGTCACATGTTCAAATTTAGATTATGTTTTGGTGAAAATATTGTTGATTCTTCTGGAAAGACATAAGAAAAACTTCCCCAGATATGCCGACTATATCTCAAAATAGCCTTGTAATCAACATTACTCCAAGCTGTATCAGAACTGAGTCAGCTGGCCTCATGATGTCACCAGAGACGCCTTGTCTGTTTTGGATGATCTTTACAGAAATCAGACTGAAACATCAGTAAAACATCATGTTTTCTTTTTTTAAGATAAAGAACCCAAAACAGCTGCAACATGCAGACGCACATTACGCATATTTTCCTTTCAGTATGTTTTCACCTAAAAGGAAAATATGTGTGGATATATTAACTTGATTTTTATGAACTAAGTTCTTCCAAATGCGCCACTGATTGATTGATAGGAAAATAACTTTAGAATAACAGAAACCAGACCAGCTGCAAATTATGATGAAGTTAATCTGTCTGGCAAAGAAGCTTTTCCCCCCCTTTCTTTGTCACCACAGACTGTTTGTAGTCATAAACAGGAAAACACCAACAGACCCAAAGGCCAGATGAACAGCAGCCAACATGGCTGACAACATCCAGCTGCTGTGGTTTCAGATCAACACAGTCATCCCCATGAATACAATACGATGGATAACAATGCATTTTTATTTTTTATTTTTTTTACAGATTTTAATAAAAAAAACAAAAAGGTGGCATAAATATATACAGCTTTGCTTCTATTGCATATCTTAAATTATTGTGAGTATCAATATGAAAGAGGGGACTGAACAAACTGATTTAGTAAACAATATAAACAGAATATAAATCTAGTTTTATATCAAAAATATTATACATTATCTTTGATTTTTTTTTTTTTTTCTTTTTTTACATTATATAGAAAAGGATCATTAGATCAAGGCTTTATGTTACCAAAATCAGGATTAAAATTATACCAATAAGAAAATACACGGTATTTTCCTTCTCTGGTCTATAATGCATAGAGTCCCATGACAGTAGCCAGAGCCACGAAGAGTCCCAGGACCATCCTGATCATTGGGGAAATGCTTCCTGGAAACTGGAGTGTTTTCCTTACAACCGTTGTGGAGTTTGTTAAACTTTCCTGCTGCGAATTTCCTGCAACACTCAGCATCTTCTGTAAGCCATCAAACACCTGTAAGAAAAAGAAGTGAGAGCAAATCAGCTGCCTGTGATTTAATGATTAACTAAGAGCAAAGGTTCTTCTTGTTTGGTCAGCTGCCTTACAGCAGGCGGGAAATCCCAGTGTCCATCCATCCGCCCTTCTCACCTGGATGTTTAACTCGAAGGCCCTAACGGCTTCCTCCAGCACGCCGTTCCTTTCCTCCGCCGTCAGCTCCACGCTGTTCATCCGGCTGCGGTAGAGCTGCTTGAACAGGTTGGGGCTGGAAACGCCAGGGAAGGCAAAGAAAGACAGACCCTCGCTGCTTTTCAGCCCCATGGACTTCTGGGCGATTCGGCCAAGGACCTGCCCTCCAGACAGGTCTCCTAGGTAGCGGGTGTAAGCGTGGGCAACAAGGAACTCTGGGTTCTCTGTTCCAATCTGGAAAATACAGAAGAATAGAGAGCATTACCCCTTTAAAGCAAGGATTACAGACACCTTAAACGTCCTGTTTAATTTTGCAGCCTTTGTTTTATACATTATTTGCTCAAATATTAAAATGCTTCTTTTTTTAATCAGGACATCTGCATGATTACAGAGGCTTATTGTATTCCATTATCAGGCTTATAGAAAGTGTTGCTGTCACCTACAAGAGAAATAAAAGGTTGCATGCATGGCATAGAAAAACTACCTGTCTGAGTCTGTGGCAGTATCTCTGAGTTGCAGCAGGGACGACTATCTTCTGTCTCCAGTCTGGTCCATTGAAGTATTCCAGGTCCTTCTCGATGGACTTGAGCCTGGCCAGTTCAGCAGGGAAGTAAATGGGAGCAACAGCAGGGTGGTTGGAGTTCATGTCCAGCTGTTCCTCCAAGGCCTGGTAGATCTCATACAGGGAGCACAGCAGGAGCTACAAACAAGCAGGACAGAAGCTGCCATTTAACGCGCTGGAATCCAACCAACAGTAATTAATGGGATCAGTTGTGCTGTAGACGTTATTATTACCTTAAATTGTGGAAGTGTGACTTGTCCCTTTTGGAAGCTCAGCATCAGTTCTGTGTTTTCTGCTCTGACATGACTCTCCTTGGTCACCTCTTTGATTTGTTCTGAGAGATCCCTTAGAGAGAGAAAAAGGCAACATTGGTTTTCAGGATTGTTGTCAACACGGGGGAAAGTGCGAAACAAGCAAAACAAAACAAACAAAAAAAAACAATCACAGTAACTTTATTTTACCTCTTATCTGTCTGCTCTGCTGTCTGGGTCCTCTTCTCTGTTTCCATTGTGTTTTTAAGGAGAAGCTGGCAGAAAATATGAGTCAAATTAAACCATCCTGCAGCATAAAAGCCATCACTGTATAAATATTCAGAAAATCTGAATAATAGTAAATGTACTGTGATTTACTCACCAGTGGTGATGAGATCCTGTGGGTTTAGTAGCGGCTCTCCTGTCAGATTCTGCAGCTCAGTTTGGTTGGCTTCACTCCTCTCCCTCTTTTATACTCCTGTCTACTCCTCCCTCTCCTCCCCTCCGCTGCAATGAAAACAGGAACTCTAAGTCATACCACTTTGCTAAACATGAACTGGCAACTCCATTAGAAGCAGTAGGAGGGACAGAGAAACCATGATGCAGCAGTTTTAGCAAGTAGGCTTGGAACAAAGCATGGGGAGGGACTATAGGACATAACATGACTGAGCATTGTTTAGCAGTTCCAGGGAAAATCACTGAGCCCAAAACATGACGGAGCAACTCGGGATTCATCAGCTAGATGGGAGGAAGAGGAGGAGCCATTCCTAAACATGACACTGACTTTCCTAGAGTGCAGCGGGAGGAAGAGTTGAAACATTAACATTATAGGTTAAGGGAAAACACATGTAGCTTAATAAAAGAAAACATAAAAAGAAAGGAAACTTAAATAAAGCCTGTTGAGGCAACTAGAGACTTGGAATAGCAACTTTTTCCAGGCCAAGAACCCCCAAACTGATGGCAAGATGGAGGACGGACCCCCTATATATAGTATGATTATATATAGTATCAAACTGGTCCTATAGTCGCTCTATTAAAGATGGAGTCATGTAATGAAAGTAATTTCTCCCTGGGATTATTTAAGTATTTCTGAATCTGATTCCTTGTTGATGGGACAGGTGTTGTGAATGAAACGGTGCCCAGCTTTGAAAGAGCTCCTGTGTGTCCAATGTGTGCATTGATGACTGAAAGGCATCTTCTGCCTCCATTTGTCTTTACTACAGTGTGTTGAATTCATGTTAATGTTTATTTAAAGACATTTCAATTAGTGGAAAAAAATGCGGGGGGGGGGGGGGGGATATTAAAAAATTCTAATTACCGGTAACCAAAACTTTTGCAACCCCCATGCAGTACCTTCGTGGACCCCCTAAGGGTCGCCAACCCCCTGTTGAAGACCTCCAGTGTAGAGGTTCCAGCATCAGAAAAATTTAAATCCCAGATATAATTGCCATGTTACACATTTCATTAGTAACATAGTAAAATATTCATGATTTAAGACGGTTTGATTCATCTCAGCACCACATTGGTAGTTTAAGCCAGGCACTGTGCAGCATCCCAAAGGCGTTTTAATTGACTGGGATTTGACTGGGATGTGTTAAATGGAGCAAACTAGCCTTTTTATTAAGAAATAATCACAAGATTCCTTCCTTATTATGGTGTTTTTCTGGACTGAGCTATCCGTTTGAGTGTTTTGCCTGTAATCAGTGATGCATATCTGTCATGGTAACATTGTGAGTTAAACTCAACTAAAAGTGATTCGTGTAGCCACGCCACTGGATACACTTCATTTTATCCAACATTTAAAAATGTTTGATAACATTCTTACATGTTATCTTGATGAAACAGATCAAAGATGCTCTTCAAACCTGCGGATAACCGAACTGGGCGATTGTCAAATCAGCAAGGAAATCAAAAAGACACGCACTAGAAGATAACGGTGAGAAGATTAAACGCAAAAACATCGCTATCCCATATGTTGCTGCATTCTCTGAAAAACTCAAGAGGATTTTCTCTAAACACAAAATCCCAGTACATTTCAAACCTAACAAGACCCTGAAGCAGAGGCTAGTGCATCTTAAGGACAGAACCCCCAAACCAAATATGAGCGGAGTGGTGTATGCAGTTCAGTGTAGTGAGGAATGCTCTGATCTTTATATTGGAGAAACCAAACAACCTCTCCATAGATCCATGGCCCAACACAGAACAGCAACCTCCTCAGGACGAGACTCTGAGGTACATCCTTATGGATAAAGGACATTCCTTTGAGGACCAGAATGTTCACATTTTGGACAAAATAAAATAGGTGGTTTGAGAGGGGCATGAAGGAGGCCATCTATGTTAAGAAAGAAAAATCTATTTTAAACGGAGGGGGGTGGACTCAAATTTCAGCTTTCAAAAACCTTCACTGCAGCAGTTGAGTTCATTCCTTTCCTTTATCATTGCAACCCCATCCCATCTGTACAGGAGAGCGGAGGACCTCGCCTATTCAGCCAGGCCAATAATTCCCTTTAACGACACCCTATTCAGAGACTTAGGCAGGTATGGGGCATTGCAGGCTAACAAAGAAGCCAAACGACCCCCATTCCAAAGGGGTGGACCACTTCGTATGTTTCAATTTGCACATTTTCACAAAAAAAAAAAGAAGGTTTTGATGGGCTACTGTATAAAACCTGGAACTCAATGCTATTCCTGACCTTTTGAATTGAAAAAGCTTCCTCGATGGGAAGCAAAACGTCTTCAAATTTGGAAATAAGGTCCAGTGGATTGTTTTTTAACTGTTTTTGGAATGACTATGACCTGGATGACTCAGAATCTTCACCAGCACATTTCAGTGTCTTCTGACACCTTTTTTCAGAAGGTTCAACACAGGGTTTTTCCTATAGGATGCTTAAAAAAATGATGAAAAAAACTCTAGAAGATGTTAAGCTGAACGGGTTACTAAATGCAAATATGCTTTATCAAACAGAAAAACTGTTACACCAAACAGCAAGGTCAATAACTAACAATAAAATTACAAAAAAATATATAATTGTCTTTGATTATTATATCTTTCTTTTACTTTTTTATTTCTTATACTCTCCATGTGTTTTTATTTAGCACTTACCTCTTTTACTATGTAGCACTTTGGGATTTGTTTAAATATAAAGTGCATTACAAGTCCTAAGTATTATTATTATTATTATTATTATTATTAAGACAAAGTCAAGTTACACCAAAGAAATCTGCTTTCTCGTGGATTCTAAAATTAGTTAAAAGTTGTTTATCTTTCCAACAACAGCAAAGTCTGAAGCAATGGATGATCTGTTATTGATCTACCATTTCAGGCTGTTTAGTGACAAGTTTAACTCTGTTAAAGTTTGACTTTATGACAGAGATCTTCTGCTCATTAAATCATATTGCTCAATAACAAGTCACTCTTAGTTTTTTAATAGGTTTCGCTTATGCTAATAAAAAATGTCCTGAGAAAGACTGGACAGCTGACTGCTGACTGATCTAGTTTTCAGAGCTTAGTGAAGCTACAGCTTATCAAAAGTCTCAAAATATCACTTGTATTATTATTATTATTATTATTATTATGATATTCTATATTTTTTTAAACTTAGGCCTACAGTTGAGTTAGTTGTTTTTTGTTTTATATTATTTTTTAATCTTGGTTCACATGTAAAAGCTAGCATGCTCACAACAGCGACACCAAATGGTCAAGCTTATTTTAAACCATGAATCAGCGCTGGAGGCTGAAACATGACTCAGCATTTACAAGGAGGAGGAGCAGAGCGTTAACATGAGACACCAGCTTTGGCGTTGAACTTTAATTGCTTCCCCATGAATAACCGAGATTTAGCAAACGCTTATAGTGTGCGCGCCGCGCGCGCCAGATTTCAGACGTCATTAGATACAGCCAATAAAAAGAGAAGGGGAGACTGTGAACGGCAATCTATTTATTTTAACGAGTGGGCCTACACTTTATTCATGAATAAATTACATATGTCTGATAATTTTACATACAGTTTAAAAAGGATTAAATGTAAGTTTTTTTGTTTTTTTCTTTTTTCCAATAGCCATTAAAAAAGGGAAGTGTTGCAACCCTGGAATGATTGAAACATTTCCTAAATCCATTGAGTTTCACAAATCAATTTTTTTGTCTCAGTTTTTTATTCTGAGAATATATTTGTCAGACAGGCAGTCAGACTGGTAAAATGCACCTTTGAACTCTGGACGGTACATGTACATAAGGAATTAAAACAAAAGTATGAAATTGTTCAGCTTTTTGAATATTATTATCAAATATCCCAAATTAATATGGTAGATACAACTTATTATGATATCAATAATATTCACAAAAGAGTTGAAATGGACACTTTTAAAAAACAGATTTCTTGGAGCTCAATCTTTTAAAATATTCTTTCAACTCTACTTAAATTTTATATATATATATATATATATATATATATATATATATATATATATATATATATATATATATATATATATATATATATCTTCGAAGAACCCCCTCAGTTGTGCAATGTTTATGTTGCCAAGACTTGTACATCTAGCACTGCAGCAACACTTCTCTGGAATTTGAGTAGTTTTCCAGCGTATTCACTGTTGCAACCGTCCCCAAGCTGTCAGTTGTGACACATGTAGCCAAACACATGGATTGTAACGCATGCTAACAATATAACTTCATAGTAAACTAAATGGCTCATTTAAGGAACATTTAGGTCAGGCATTGTCTTTCACCCTACCAACTTTTTTTTTTTGCCTTTTCTTTTGTGTGTGAATAATACACAAAATTTTGTTTAATAGTATTTTTAAAGGTGCAATTGTTAAGTTAACAGTTGTAATTAATTAATACAAATGGTAAGGACAGAATGACAAATAAACACCACATAAAAAAAAATTTTTCACACCTCAAAAGTATCCATGCATCCATTCATATTCTCCCGCTTTATCCATCGGGCTCGCTGTGGGGCTGCTCCAGCAGTCTATGGGCAAAAACCAGGGCACACCCTGGATGGGTCATCGATCTGTCACAGAGACACACAACCATGCTCTAGACTCACACCTGAGGACAGTTTACCTTAGAGTCATGTTTTTAGACTGTGGGTGAACTCCACAGTTTCCCACAGTCTTCTGTGGGAGAACTGCAGAGAACTCAGGCATGCAAACGGCATGCAGAAAGACCCCAGGCCGGGAGTCGAACCCAGAACCTTCTTACTAAAATATAACAGTGCTACTCACTGGAACCACTTAAAAAATATGTTTTCCAATGAATTTAAAAGATGGTCTTGAATGTGTCTTCTGTCCCGCTAGTGCAGGGGATGGTCCAACTGAGCATGCAGAGTATCAGTGTCATCAGTGGGAGTATTGGGGAGTGGTGGCCTAGTGGTTAAAGCAGTGTGCTTGTGCTCTGAGAAGGTTGAAGTATATGGTTCGATCCCTACAGCCTCCATTTTGGGTTCCTGAGCAAAACCCTTAACGCCACACTGCT